GTGTTTCAGTATATCCTCTGGTATTTCACTTTTTCCTCCCACAGACAGGACTTGGCATTTTCCTTTCTTGAACTTTATAAGGATTCTGTTGACTCATTTCTCCAGACTGACAAGGTCCCTTTGAATGGCAGCATACCCATCTGATGTATCACCTACTCCTCCCAGTGTTGGGTAATTTGCAAAGTTGCTGAGGGTGCAGTCTCATCATTCAGGCTCCTAATGAAGATGTTATGTAGTATTATCTCCTGGGTTACACCACTAGTTACTGGCCAGCTGGCCTCCAGCTTGACCTCATGCCCCTGATCACAACCCTCTGAGTCTGACAGTTCAGGTAGTTTTCAATCCACCCCACTGTCCATTTATTTAGTCTTTATTTCATCAGTTTCTCTGTAATGATGTTATGAGGGACAGTGTTGAAAGCCAACATAAATAAGATCCACTGCTCTCCCTTCCTCCAACAAGTCACGTGTATGATCTCATCATAGGGGAGGCATGATCTCCACTTTGTAAATCAATGCTGACTACTCCCCAACACCTTCTTCTCCTTAATATGTTTGGAGATCATTCACAACATCCCTTTCCCAGGGTCTGAGGTGAGACTGCCTGCCCTGTAGATTCTTGGATCCTCCTTTTTGCCCCTCTTGAAGAAAGCAGGGACATTTGGGTTTTTTCCAGTCCCCAGGAACCTCCTCTGATCACTGTCACCTTTCAGAGATTAGAGTGGCCTCACAATGACATCAGCTCCATGGTGTCATAGCTTACATAACTCAAATTTAGAGGAAGCAACACATTCCATGAATTGCAGGATTGGCAGGGAGGAAGAAAACCAATCCTTAATTGTACATGACTGTGAACTTTAACCTTTGCAATTAAGGTAAGTTAATGTTTGATTAATATCATATATTTACTCGAGTATTGATATGCATGACAAACATCTAAATACATCTCTGTGAAACTCCACAGAATTATAGAATCACAGAATATGCTGACTTGGAAGGGACCCAGAAGGATCATCAAAGTCCAATTCCTGACCCTGCACAGGACACCCCAAGAGTCACATCATGTGCCTGAGAGTGCTGTCCGACTCTGTCAGGCTTGGTGCTGTGACCACTTCCCTGGGGAGCCTGTTCCAGTGCCCAACCACCCTCCGGGTGAAGAACCCTTTCCTAATATCCACTTAAACCTCCCCCAGCTCAGCTCCATGCCATATCCTCCAGTCCTGCCACTGGTCACAAGAGTGAAGAGATCAGTACTTTCCCCTCTGCTTCCCCTCGTGAGGTTATTTTATCTTTTTAACATACATTTTGGATTTCTTTGTTGAAAGTTTATACATTATAAACCAAAACATCTGATTTTTTAGTACTCGTAGGTACATTAGGTGTATCTCATCAGATACCTTCTAGTTTTAGTTTCTCCAAGTATGGCTGCTCTGCTCCTCTCCTTTAAATACACCATGTCCTACGTTTTCTCCACTGAAACCGAGAATACTGGACCCAAGATCAAATCTACAATACAAGAAAGAATTCAGACATATGGAATATATGGTTATATACTACCCTCCGGGAGAAGGGGAAAAAATCCGCAGTTCTAAATAGGAGACAAGCAGGTTACTGTTCCCCCAAATATGGTAAAGCAAGTTTTATTGGTGGTGTGATCAGCGTGGGAATCTTTTGGCTGAAATGTTACGGAATTGATATAGTTCACAGCAGAATGACTATTTATATCAAAGCATTTCCTACAGACCAAAGAAGTTGGATGCTGCCTCAATAACAGAAGGCCGGAGAAAGGCTAATTACTAATTTAGGTCCTCTTCATTTCAGACATGCTGGAAGGAGCAGCTGAGTCTAGATTCAGGTTTTAATGTGGTAAAGCTCTAAGCCAACTAAATTGGAGAGGTAAATGAGTGCCAGGGCAAAGGAAAGAGGGATGTGGAGCAGAAGTGTGACTTGACTGCTGATACAGTTTGAAGCTGGCTCCCTGCCAAGTCTCCAAACCTTACCACAAGAAGTCGTTCCCCCACCCCAAACCTTAGGGAGAAGAGGGAGAAAAACAACCAAGAAAACTTGAAACGAGAGAGAGAGCTAAAGCAATATATATAAATATATTTACACTTATGTTACAGTTATATACCATTGAAATATATATACAATTTCACAGGGTAAAGGGAAGGGGGAAGGGAAAAGGAACAAAACCAAAATTATATATATATATATATATCCCAATCAGTAGCCCGAGATCTAGTAACTAAAGAGTTAGCAAAGAAATATCCCACCACTCTCCTTGGGACAACCGAGAGTCGCTCTAGGACAATCGCCGGCAACCTCCGCCTCCCAGGGTTGACAAGGCCTTACCAGGCCTTGCTCCCCAACACGGCAGACTCAACAGCAGGGAACCTGCACCTCCAAGCCGCCGGAAGGAAATAGAGCGAAGGCCTTTCCTCCTTTCTTCTTATAGTCTGGCTTACGTCAAAATCGTAGGGAATACTGGGTAAATCTGGACCCTTCCTTGGCTACAAACTGGTGACCAAGGAATGCCTAGACCAAACTACCACAACTGCCTTGCTGTCGTTGTTAAAGTCAGAACGGCCAAAACGACACAGATAACAGACGTAGTCCAGGTGTAAGGTGATCAGGAAACTGTTTATTGCTCTCAAGTGTTTCTTTTTTACTCTTTGTACACTATCATACCACAACACAATTGGTCAAAAGTCTCAAGCATAAAACACTGTATATACTTTAATTGGTAATACAGAAGACACTGCACACACTCTTATTGGTGACACTGAAGACACTGTGCATGCTGTGACATGCTATTGGTGACACTATACACATTTTGATTGGTGATCTTTGGTCTGGGCTGCATTACGTTTTTCCGTCCGGCATTACAGTAAATATTTCCTAAAAGTTGTTTAAATTCCTCATCACTAATTGCCAGGCTGCTGACAGGTTCTCTGTCAACCCCGACACCTTGCCTTAGCTGAAGTCTCTTTCTACATTTCTAACTCCATAAAGTAGGTTGGTGAGAGGTGTTGTCTCAGTTAGGTAACTCACCAAGGTGTTTCCCATCTGTCGAATCTTCTCCCGCCAAACAGGCTAGGTGACAATCTTTTACCACCACTCATAAAACCAAACAACTTAATAAATAGATTATTTTAATAATAGAGCTTTATTAATACTATGTGAAGACCTGAAATCTGCTGCAAGATCATAAAAATGTTGGTTGAAGCTTGCTTTTTAGTTGGACCATGTCAGCCCTGGATTACGTCACTCTTAGCTTTGTCTGAGTCTTGAAAATCCCCAGTGACAGAGATTGCTGCACTCTTCTGGACAACCTGTTCTAGTGCCCAGCCACTCTCTTGCTGATTTCACTTCTTCATGCCCAGTCTGAACCTCCCAAGTTGTACATTGTGGCAATTGCTCTGTTAGAGCAGCTGGCAGTAGTAAGAAGAATTTGGCTCTGTCACTTTTGCAATGATCCTTCAAACAGTTGTAGGCTGATGTTATGTTACTTCTTAGTTTCCTTTTGAATAGCCTAATTAAGTCCAGCTCCTTCAGCCTCTCCTCAGTAGCTTTCTTATTAACCCTCCATTGAACACTCTCCAATCTTGCCCTGTCTCTCTTGACCAGAGGTATCCAGAGGCATATTTCAGGCATGGCTTCACCAGTAGCAAGCAGAGATTATCAGCAAATTCCCTCTGATGTGCTGGCCGTGCTTCTAACGTGACCCAGTACGTACCTTCTTTCAGAAGAGCATGCTGCGTGTTCACATTCAACCTAGTGTGCACTGTAACCCACAGGATTGTGACCTAACCAGCTACTTCCCAGTCTGTACCTGCACATGGGGTTATTCCAGCTGTTCCAGGGGCAGAATTTCATACTTCTTATAAGGATCATGAGGTCTCTGTTCAATCCTTAACAGGGCCCTTCTGGGTTGAACCAGCAGCTGCTTCCCGGAACTTGGTGTTGTCTGCAGGTCTGCTCAGAACAAGCTCTGCATTGCAGCCAGGTTGTTGTTGATGGCATTGGATACAGGTGCCAGAACTGAGCCCAGGGTGCTTTGCTGATTACCAACCAAAGACTGAGTTATTGACTGCTACCCTTACACCCAGCTTTCAATCCCTCCAAAAAGGCTGTTTGTCCAGTCCATCCTTCTGCTGTTTCCAGAGGGGAAGGGTGGGGAAGGTGGGGTCAAAAGCCATATTCAAATCAAGGTATATTATACCCACTGCTCTGCCCTTGCCCACAGGGCCAGATATTTCTTCATAGCAAGCAATCAGGCAGGTCAAACATGGTTTGCCCTCCTGGGCTGACTACTACTGATTATGTGCTCCCTGATCTTTCCATCAACTGAGACTTAGCTGACTGACACATAGTTGCACCAACAGGGCAACGCTCCAATCCTCAACCACTTCCAACCCAAACCATACAATGATTCTATCATTCCCAAGTCCTCCTCCTTGCCTTTTTTAAAAGATGAGGATTGATAGTGGCCTCACACTCAGGCCCACCAGGTCTCCCAGTAGCTTGGGGTGATTCCCATCCAATCAGATCCAATGGATCTGAACACACATACCAGTTTCCCTCACCTCTTACTCCTCCGTTGCTGGCTGCAATCCCTACCCCAGTTGTGCCCGTACAGGCAGGAGTCTGGGAGCTGGCTTTGGCTGTGAAGACAGAGGCAGAAAAGAGGCACTGAGTTCATCAGCTTTTTTGTTGACACAAGGGGCCTCTGTCTGCAGAAGCCTATCCTTGAACTTGCTTTTCCAATTAGCAATCTCCAGAATCTGCTTTGTTCTCACTGGTTCTCCTTAGCAGTCTTGGCTCCAGCTGGGCTTTGGCCTTCCTGGTTTTGACACTAAGTACCTAACACTGTGGGTGGTTTTTGTCCCTGTGGAGTGGAAGTTGTTTACTTAAGACATTAGAATACTTGTGTTCAGTTTGTCTAATCTAAACCACATAGGAAATGGTCTTTCTGACTCTTGCACACTTTTGCTCCTGTAGGTCAAGACTCACTAATGAACATGGAAAAATTACTCCAGCTACAGAAGCAATTGTCTGATAGTAGGAGGACAAGGAAAAGAAGCCTGAAATTACAACCCAGTTAAATGTGATAAATAAAAATATCAATAAAAATTGAATGGAATTATTCTGGGTTTTAAAGATTTAGAGGGAAGATGCAACTAGACAGTGAAGACCAACATATGACCCTATAGGAAGGTTTAGGGTTGGTCTGCCACTGGGAAACATTCTTGGAAGAGGATCATACTCAGAGTAGTTTGGGTTCTGGACTGGGACCAAGGTTAATTTGATTGGTAAAGCTTAAATTTTAAAGTAGGGAGCAAAACTGTGAAAGGTTTATTTAATCTGCATGATGTTAATGTAGTGAGAAAGGAATATCACAGGGTCAGAGGAATGAAAGTGCCAATAATAATATACAGACTTGGAAACTGCTGGCTAAAAATCAGCCTCTTGTGGTGGCAGGGTGAAGCTATTGCATTGGCACAAAGAAACAGAGGATCCAAAACAACTGAGTCAGAATGTGAAACTAGCTAGCACAGAGACCTGTGGAAGATCAGCAGTTTTACCTGGAATAAGAGGATGGAATTATATGCATAATTTTGGAAAGATGGAAGAGAAAAATAAAGATGGTGAAACACAATTATGCAATAATGACTTCAGAGAAAGAAAAGGGATGATAAGTATAACATGGATCATGTTTGAGTTAAAATCATTTAGAAAAAGGTAGGAAAAATACTGTACTGTACGAAGTGTTGAAGAGTCTGCAGTATCTAAGAGAGCCTGGGAGTTAGATTTGGACAGGGGTGTAGATGTCTGTCATGTCATTTGGAAAAGAGAATAAGTACCCTTAGTATCTCTATAAATATGGAGATACAAGGTTGTAAGGCCTGTTGCTAGATGTATTAACAGATCACTACACTGCAGTAAGGAGATATGCAAGAGTGGTATGAAAACTTTGTCATATGGCCAGGAAGGAATTTGCAGAATCCTTAAACATTTTTAAGTGCAAGCAATTAATTTACATTACTTTGACTGGAAATAAAAAGAAATTCTGAGATGTCAGAATTCTCATCAAATAGAAACACTGGTTTTAACCATCATAATTTTTCCCTATTAGTTGTGTTAGTTGCATCAGGTTGTATCTTCAAATTGAACTTGAAGACAGAATAAATAAATTATCTCATAAATATAATTAATTAATTTAAAAACAAACTTTGAACACTCTGATATGCAGTAGAAATAAAAAAAGGGAAATTACAAGATGTGTACTAGATACAATTCTGATTTTCAACAGAGGGAGAGGGAAGACTCAATTTTCAAAGAACCAGAATTCAGAAAATATACTAACTGGCTAAAAAACCAGCATAATGCATTTGGGACCATCCTTAACATTATTTCATGATTCCAGCAAACCTACTTTTATTAACTCACTAGCAATTAGCAAATGTTTCTATTTTAGTCTCTCTTATGTTGGCTTCAGAGGTTTGTAAATGTTTACAAAATGCATTCACTATATTTGCTGAACTATAACTCCTATAAAATTAAAATTTAGAGGAAGCAGAATGTTCCATGAATTGCTGAATTGGCAGGGAGGCCAGAAAATGGATCCTTAATTGTTCATGGGAGTGATCTTTAAGCTGTGAAATTAAGGTAAGCTCATATTTGATTAATATCTGATGTTTACTCAAGTTTTGAAACACATGACAACAATCTATATGCATCTCCATCAGACTTCTTAAAGTTGTTATTTTATCTTTTTAGCATACATAGTTAGGAGTCCTATGTCGAATGTTTATACATTATAAACTGAAGTAAATGATTTTTCTCTTCAGATGCAGATTGAGTAGTTTGTCGTAGCTCTGTTGAAGTCAGTGGAGCTCAGCCTGAGGACCCATTTCATTCTTGATGAACAAGTTTTGTCAATAGACCCTCCCCTTTTGTGTTAAAATGTTCAGCTTTATACTCATTGATTTCAGACTCAGCTCAACCATTTCTCAAACACTGCTTGCTTCAAAATTATTGATCTTATTTTAATAACTAGGAGACCTTTAGACTGCAAGCATCTACAGGTATAGCCTGATTTATCCTGCTTTGAAGCAACCATCGCTGTGATGAGTGTTCCTTTCTCTGTGTTTGAATTTACCAAGTCACAAACACGGCACACTCCATGTCTGTGGAAGTTAAGGAAGTATGAAAAATTGATTATAAGAGTAAATCCTCATCTTCTACAAAGTTCTTTCTCTTTCAATAAAAGCAATCAGAATTTGACTTCTGCTTCCCTATGTTGGACATGCACCAAGTAAGTTACATCTGGGTCTGTCATAAATTCCAAAGAGGTAAAAATTAATGAATGAATGTTCATGATTTAAAAACTCGTTAAAACTTATTTATGAAAGCAGACCTAGAGTGCACTGACTTCTCCCCTTGAATTATCATCTCTCCTAGACTTATCTTATGAATAGTGCTCAGAGAGAATGAGGCACTGGACTTACCAGGCATTTAGCATGCAGTGAGCACAGAGCATGCAAATGGTCTCATTGAAAGTGTGAGGCAGAGTCTTGCTGTGCAGATGCAGTACTACTCATAAGGTAATGTAGTCACAAGATCACATGGATTCTTGGACCTACCTAGTCTAAATATTGTAGAGGTTTTGCATCCCCGGGGTAGGCATGATTTCCCTTCTCTTCCAGGTGACTGAATTTATCATACTCAGGATGGGAGTTTAACCAAAAAAGTAAAAAACCTAATTCTCTACTGACTGACTGCCATCTGATGCAGTATAATTAATATTCAACGATAACTAAACTTAATTAGTTTAGTGCTATTTTAGGCATTCAATCAGAATAGAAATATCCTCGGATTTGATATTCCATAAACTTGAGAACAGCTCATTATCAATCTGAGGTAGGTACATTCCTGTTCATGCTTCTATCATATATAACATAATCCTTTCCTATATGGTTAAAGGATGTACTACTGGGGGAAGAATGTTCCACTTCCTGGCAAGGTATGCTGGTACAGTTAAACAAAAATACTACAAATAACTGCAAATCCTTCAGGCACATATCAATCACTTCAGCAGGTGGTGAAGAGGAAAGGAGAAATGTTTCTCTGGCTGCAGGGCAGACATTCTTTCCTTCCTGAGCAAGACTTATCTTCTCCTGCCTCTCCCAGCAAATGCTAAGACTGTGTCACATCCTGTTAAAGCATGAAAAGCTAACAAAGCTTTTGCCTTTCCTTTGCCTAATACTGCAGTAAATAACCTTTAGTTTAATCCCAGAATCAAAAGCAATCCAAAACTCATCAAAATCTAACTGGTTCATATTCCCCAATGATACCTGCTCACTAATCTGCAAAGTAACTAGTGACAGAACTTTTCAGATTCATGGCTCACAAGGTTTTGAATCTGGAGGAGAAGAGCAGGTATTTGGTGGCAAATAAGGAAGGCCTTATTTTACAGGAGAAATAATATATATCAGTCTTTCAATGAAACATTGATGAAAAACTATTCAGTTTAAATCAGGTATGAGATAGATTTGTGCTGCATTCCACTACTGTCTATCCCATTACTATGCTCAGTAAAGCAGGGTGTGTATACCAGGGCTATGTTTGTACATGACTTAAAATGCCTCTGCTGTCAATAAATAACAAAGGACAAGGTGATGAGATAGTTCCTCCCTTGCTCTATTTTCACTTATTTTTGTGAAGATCAACCCCATTAGTGTCAACCTTTTCCAAATCAAACAGCTATGGCTGAACTTCAAAAGATAAAAGTGTGAGGCAAGTGAAAATATGCCTCTATTCAAGGCATTTGAGGAGTATAAAAATCATATGTGGCATAGGATAATGGGGTAGAAGATGTGATTTAACAATATACAGGTTTTTCTTAACATATATTTTCACATGGGGGAGAACTAATACAGTTTTCACACATCAAATAACAAATACAAAAGCAATTAATTATGATTAATCCTAAAAATTATTTTAACATTTGGCTGATATTACTCACTGAATGACACTTCTTAGATATGTAAATAAACAAAAATAAAGCAGATGGATGTAGTTCAAGCTTTACCAGACTGAGCTGCACATTTTTCCTGCTCTACAATCAAGGGAATTTAAAAAGACAAGTTTAATGTTTGTGAATATCTGTGGCTTCTTAGACAGTGAGAAACTGAAGCCATTTCACCAGGGAAAATGCAACTATTTTTTATACAAGCATTCATGACTAAAAGGTAGAAGTCCTTCAGAAATACAACCATGAGTTCCAATTTCAAAACTGTGGTTTTGAAATAGCGCACCATTTTGCTGTTGATATCTCCCTTCAAGACTGACATCACCAGCACATTTTATAGAAGGATTTCAAGTGATTGGAAAAAAAGATTTTCCTCAGTTTATTGACTCATGATTTTTTTTGTGTAAGATTGATCCCTCCTGAGGAAGATTTCTTATCAGTCAATTAGTCCATCAGCATTTCTGTCATTTCATAGAATCATAGAATAATTTGAGTTTGAAGGGACCTTTCAGAGGTCTTCTAGTCTGACTCCTCTGTGATGAGCAGGGACACCTTCCACTCGTCAAAACCACTCAAAGTTCCATTCAACTTGGACTTGAACATTTCCAGGGATGGGCATTCACAGCTTCTCTAGGCAACATGTTCTGGTACCTCACCATCCTCACAGTAAAGAATTCCTTCCTGATATCTAATCTAAACCTGCTCTTTTTTCAGCTTAAAGCCATTCCCTGTTGTCATATCCTTCATGCCCTTTTAATATGTTTTAGGGGAATGCTTAAGATGCTGAGTTAATATTTCAACAATTAGGAATAATTATAATTAGTTATACCTACCACCTTTGTTAGGTTTCTCATACATGTTAAAACACTCTTTTTAACTTTCGAGTTATGTTCTGTCTTTCTCGGAGGGCACAAACTTACCTGATGACGAGGAGTACTTCTCGTCAGATGAGCTTGGATTGCTTGTAAAAATACCTTGGTGCAAGCATTTAATTTCATCCAGAAGTTATGAGGCAGGGTACTTCCAGGAGTTTCAAAAAA